GGTGAGTTGGGGGTTGGGTTTAGGACTATTGTGTGAATTGAGTTTAGGTTAGTTTTAGGGTCAGGTGAGGTTAGCCTTAGGGTTGGTGGTCAGGGTTAATCTGTAGAAATGTAATGGAAGTCAATGTAATGTCCCCAAATGGATAGCTGGACGAACCAGTGTGTGTGTGTGTGTGTGTTATACAGAGCCCTAAAACCAGTCCAAAGGTTGCAAAAGAGCTTTTTTTTTTCACTGATTCATTTGAGGTGCACGCACGCACGCACGCACGCACACGCACACGCACACACACACACACACACTGACACAGGGGCTGTGTGTTGACTCAAGATTTAATGAATGGATGATTGAGGGGCTGCAGGGACTGGATGGATGGGGAAGCAGCGCCGTGGAAACAACCTCACTTTCCCAAGAAAAGCAGCACATAACTTGAGCTGAGCACAAAGAAGAGGGACAGAACATGAGAGACTCACATGCAGAATTAAAATTTAGATTGTGTGTGTGAATGTGTGTGTGTGTGCAGAAAAGCACCCAGAGGGGGGTTACTACTTGAAGCAGTTGAGGCACTGTTAAAGCAAACAGCCTGTACTTGTCAAAGACCCAAAGGGGGAAAGAAAGCAGGGTTGGGGGTGGTGGTGGTGGGGAAGCAGCTGTTGGAGGAGGAGAGTGAGACAAAGAAGGAGCAGGGGGGCTGTCCTTACTTGCTCTTCGCTGCTCCAACTGTTCGAACAGGAGGCAGTGGGAGAACAGGACCAAGAGGGGCAACAAGAAGGAGACGGAGGGGGGGGAAGGAGCAGCATGTTTGGAATGTAAAGAAAATCCAAATCTGACATTCCAGGGGGTTCATGCCTTCTCCCCGTTTGTTTTCTGTGCTCGCGCGCTCCTGGTCGGACGGGGGGGCCATGATGCTGCTGCAGGGGCGGTCTGCCCCCCGGCTCTGCGCGCTCCTGCTCGGGCTGACGGGGCTCCTGGTGTCGGGCTCGGACTTCCAGCACCACCGCTACGATGACATGGTGCGAGCCCTGTTCGCGGTGCAGAACCAGTGCCCGTACATCACGCGCATCTACAGCATCGGGCGCAGCGTGGAGGGGAGACACCTCTACGCGCTGGAGTTCAGCGACAACCCGGGCATCCATGAAGCATGTGAGCGCCACCTCATTGTTGGGTAGAGAGGAAAGGCTAATGTCAGTGAGCACTGTTAGAAATAGATGAGGGATTAGTTAGAAAGAAAAAAGAAGGCATGGTGATTTCAAAGTACAGGCTGTTCATTTCTGCGTGTGTGCATGGACATGTCTGTTAGCAAAATATCTCATGAACCACGGCACGCATTTCAATGAAACTCATTGAAAGTAACCCATGGATGGAAATCTACAACCGATTAACTTTTGGAGTCAATTTGATTTAAGARGCAACCACAGTCCACTGATTTTAAAAACATTAAAAAACGGCTGCAAATCAGTCAGTTTTACAGATATTGAACTGAAATTRGATGTGGTAGTAGCTGAGACTCATCCTGAAAAATAAAATTGAGCACTAACAATTGTGCAACATCTTTGTTTCAGATTTTACCTTTTAACTCTTTGGTGACTCGTCTGTCTGTTTGCAAGTAATCTCATAAACTACAAAACACATTTTAATGAAACTTTCAGAACATAATCATTTCACATATAACTACAAATGTTTAACTTTTGAAGTCAATCCAGTTTAAAGTGACCGTCACAGCCAATTTACAATAAAAGACAGGAAATTACTACAGTTCAGACAGTTTTACAGATACTGCGCTAAAATTTGGCGTAATTGTACCTGAGAGTCGTTCACAACACAGGCAACAATTGCCACTCATTGAGCAAGATGTTTGCTTGAAACCGAAGTAGTAACTGTCAGAGTCAACTTTGTTTATTAGCAGAATGTCTCATCAACCACTTCATAGATTTTAATCAAACTCTTAGAAACGAATCATTTGATGTGCATCAATAACTGATTAGGCTTTGGGGTCAATCCAGTGTAATATAACAGCCACAGCTAATTGAAATTAGCCGCTTAAAAATGGCTGTAACTCAGTCACTTTCACAGATATGTAAGTCAATCACAACACACTTTGAAAGTGATGCACTTAACATTTATTCAAAGTTTGACCAAAACAGTTAGKGTCGTTTCTGAACATGAGATGATTTCAAAAGTCAGCAGGCAATACACATTCATGTGAGGAGTGCCAGGCCTTTAATTCCAATTTTCATTTTGGTGTAAGGATTGAGAACAAAGCTGGCAGGAGGCTGTGCTGTCTGTCTGTAGAGAATTACGGTTCCATCCCAAAAAAGATGAAACGCAAAATTTCAGATTTTGAAGCCAACAGCGAACAGGAAAAACAAAGGAAAGGAGGTGAATCCAACAATCGGGAGGCTGCGGACAAAAAGAAAAGGCAGAAGTGAAAGGATTGTCAACATCTGTGTTTCATCTCAGTGTTTTATTTTTTTATTTTTTTGACAAAACATGGGTTTGTAATTTAAAGCTGAGCAGATGCCTAATGGGCTCACTTGGAGTCAGCCACACTTTAACCCTGTAGCTTTGCTTGTTTTTCCTCCCTCTCCTGAGCACTGAAGCAGGTTCTCATGTTTATCCTATACTGGTTGCAAATTGACAACCATCATCTCATCCGGTCTGGTGTATTTGTGTGAGCAAATAGGTGGTAGATTTATGGAATCATTGAAGATTTTTAGTTTTGTTTTTTTGCTTTTTCCWTTCTTGGTGTTTGAAAAATAGCCCGGCAACTGCAAAGAATGCTGGTTTGGCTGCGCCTGAGCTCGCATACTTTTCTGTGTTAACACACGTAGCAGCTTCCTTAAGTAGAATACAAGGATGTGCGCCTTGGTCTGTTGCAAGGTGACGACGGGGTGGGGGTGGGGGGGAACAGGAACTGTACCCTCCGTTGACGGGAAGAACCCAGGGTCTTGTTCAGGTCAAACCTCTTTTGCAGTCTCACGCCTTGATAAAAGCGTTTTACTTTAAGGTGAAGCCTGTTTTCTGAACTTCAGCTGCAGTCAGTGTCCAGTAGCAGCTCTGTTCTTTGGTTTCAGTAACTGGGGGTCTCGGTTCTCTCAGCACTTCAGCTGTGATTAATGAAAGGACTCTTGGGAAGGGGGAACTCTAACCAGAGGGCAAAGCTGTTTAGACTGAAGGCTCCCAGATAGCAGCCAGACGACCTGCAATCAGCTGAGATCAGCCATTTTTGTCACAACCTTGAAAGTATCCTTATCAAGAAAATGAGTGAAGCGTCTTTGTTTTGTAGCAAAAAAAAGGCTCTTTAGGTAGCTTTATATGGCCTGGAAAGGAAGGATGTTAGATAAGCCACTGCATGAAAATCTGTAAACGTGTGCCAAAGTTTCGGACAGATTACCCAACATGATGTCAGTGGAGGCATTGTATGGAAAAAGGGAGTGATGTCACCCATTGTCTCCGTTCGCCGACKTTTGAACTGCAAGACGGAACACCTGAGCAGACACGTGTGGGTCTGTTGAGCTCAGTGGTCAAAGCAGCCCTCTTTGCAAACAGCTTTTTCCATCATTCAAAACGTCGTGCACTTTAATGCCCCTTTTCCACTAGTGCCACTTAGTGTAGTGTTGGTACGGTTCACTATGGTTCTAAGCCATTTCCATTAGACCAGATTCTTGGAACCAGCCCTTTTTTAGTACCTTCTTCATTGTGGTTCCAAGTGGTCCCGATAGACGCTAAAATGCGACATCAGAACACTGTTTGTCACTGATCGGCTAGGGGGTGGAGTCACTGGTTGGGTCTGAACTGCCTTTACAACAACAACTCGAGGCACCACTTTTCAATTGTAGCAGCGACATTAGTCGTGTCTTCAACTTTAATTCGAATTTTTTGCGAATTTTTAAAATTTCAGAACTCATTCAGCAAATGTGTTTCCATCTATCGTTTTGCGCATTAACTCTTTTTTGAAAAAACCAAAAAACCACCTCCACCAACCGCCCAAAACACACCCACTGGAACTGGACTGGAACGTCAATGGAAAAGCACCCGAACTGACCCGTTCCGACACTGACCGTACCGACACTGCACTAAGTGGCACTAGTGGAAAAGGTGCTTAAACTCTCTGCTCCTTCCCGTCTCTCTACTTCCCCCTCCAGTGGAGCCGGAGTTCAAGTACGTGGGGAACATGCACGGCAACGAGGTGCTCGGCCGTGAGCTCCTCATTAAGTTCTCCCAGTTCCTGTGCGACGAGTACCAGGCCAGAAACCAGCGGATCACCAGGCTCATCCACGACACGCGCATCCACATCCTGCCCTCCATGAACCCGGACGGCTATGAAGTGGCAGCCAGACAGGTAATGTAAACGCTGGACATGCATGTGAGCTTCCTGCTTTCACAGGCCAAAAGAAAACCAGGGAAAAGTCTCCCTCGGGGGTAACTTTGGCTGGTTTTTCTTAGGCAATCCATTTGCAGCTTATGATGGGAGGGGGGAAAACGTCTACAGTTCTCCTTGTTTTTGTCAGCAGAACAGAAATGTTCAGGTCCCCGAGTGAAACCAAACACCCGTGTGTTAAATCAAAGCCCGTCACTCAGCACATGCTTTTTTTGACTCCATGTGAAACCATGTGTTTTGATTTCAATTTAGCGTCTGTTTGAGGCAAAACAAAGAGCCCTACATTAGCAGGTTATTCCATATTTTTTACCTCATGTCTGTAATAATCTAATCTGAGAAGAAAAAAACAACCCTGTCCTATAGACTCTAACACAAACACATGTGCTCRGTGTCTTTCAGACTAATTACATGCCCAGCAGGCACGCAGTAGCACGAGACGAACAAAAGTCTCCGTCTACATCACTGTAATTTGGTGCTTAACAGATGTTTAGGTGCTGCAACATCTGGACGGCAATCACAAGACTGTTTTGTCTTCCGGAAACTTGGAAGGCCTGGTGTTGGTTCTCGTCTTCTAATTTTGCTTTTAGCGAAGAGCAAAACAAAGCGTGCWTTCACTCGGGCGAACGTTATTGTCTGCATAAATGTTGGTCTCTCTTTTTCCAGTCTACTCATTTCCAAWTCAAAGATAAAAAGGTGATCATAAAGAACATAAAAGAGAGTTCTACACTATTTGAACCAACCAGTACCTTTGAACTACAGTGCATAAAAATGCTCTATATTGTGGTTTAAATTAGGTAGTGGTGGGCAGCAATAATCTAAATATTAGTTGCACTAACGCTAAAGCACTAACTTAAATATTTATGTCCCCTAATTCTAAAGCACTAACACACTGAAAAATTTAGCAAAAGCTAATTCTAAAGCACTAATATAACCCAGTTGATGCATGGGACATTCTTCAGAGTCAATATGCAGAATATTGTCACTTAGTGCCCTTAGTGGGCCAAATGGGAGTCACCTGCCGGCCACATTTGGCCCGCGGGCCTTAAGTTTGACACGTGACCTTGTCAATAACCGAACAAAATGTATGACAGCTTTCACCCTCAGTTGTGATCAATAACATTTAAAGACCTCAMTTAGAGCTTCTACATTRAGCCCATAAATTTAAAAAGCGCGAATCCACTAAAGCATTAAAAAAATCAGCAAAAGCCCTAAAGCACTAATCAGAAAATTTGTTTCCCTATTAGTGCTTTAGGGGAACAGTGCCCAACACTGCTATTAGGGGTGGGCGAATCAATCTCAGTATCGATACTATRGATATCAAAATGAGTATTGGRATCAATCGATACTAGCATGATGAGATCGACTCTTTTGTTTACACATTATTGCACAATTTGAAGACTACTGACTGTATTTTTTCACAAATAAAGTGAAAAATACAGTCAGTAGTGCAGAGTCTTCAAATTGTTTGGGGTTAGTTATTAGTCCCCCTCCTTGTTCATGTGTGCGATCAGAGTTATTACTTGTTGTGTCATGGACATCATTATATGTATATTTTTGTTYAATTGTTGCTTCTTTTTTATTTTGCACTACTGAGTTTTTTTCTTAAACAACTGTGTAGTAGAAGGCAATAGGGAAAAAATATTTGTTTTATATTGTTTCTTTGCTTTATTTTGTTGTAGTTAATTAAAAATTATTTGCCTAAATCTTTGATCTGTGTTTTYTTGTAATTGACTAACTTAAGGCAAAATCCTAAAAATATTCAATGAACCTAAGTATAGTTATTGGAATCTGCAGTACTGGCTCTGTATTTACTTGGCGTCAGATCGATTCTAAAATTCCTAGTATCATCCACCACAGTGTAAATACTGGATTTTGCAACTTTTCAGACTAGTTAACAAAGCATGATCAGAATAAACACCACTAACCAAATTTTCTATGCAACCGAGTACAGAAATCAGTTGAAAAGTATTTTACTGGTTACAGATGGTCACTGCAGGTTGGGAAACAGTTACTGCTTCCAAACTAAATTGAAACCTGCAAAATCTTTAGCTTAGTCGCCAAAACCCAATCATTCTGTCATTGTATTGGGAAAGACTGGAATTACTCAACAGTTTCTCTTTGTATTTGTGGGTCCACAGGGTCCAGAGCTCAACGGATATCTAGTGGGACGAGGGAACGCCAGAGAAATCGATCTGAACCGGAACTTCCCAGACCTGAACGCCCTCATGTACTACTATGAGAAAACCAATGGGCGAAACCACCACCTTCCTCTGCCAGACAACTGGGAACTTCAGGTCAGGAATCAAACCCACAGAAACCTGTTTTTTTTTTTCTTTTATTTGAGCAAACACAACAAATAGAAAGGTGGAAGGGTTTGAGGATCATGCAGGAGTACATGTGAGAATTGAGCAACTGAAACGTTGCTGGGTTTTCTTGGCCTTGACTTTGTTGATATAAATACAGTATATCGATGGGAGAAGTTTCCCATGTCGGCCAAGCTTTAAGCTGAATTAAAAAAAACTGTTCACATATTTTATCACTAAGTAGAAAATGCTTTGCTTATCTTGAAGCTGCAATACGTGCAGAAAAGTGCTGACTCAACATTGTTTTCCCGTTTATCGTTTCTTCTGTATGTCTTGTGGCTTTTAACTACTCAAGCATACTTTCAGRAATTTTAACCATTTAGATGTTAAAATATTTAGCTCGTTTAGCAGTTGGGTACTAACATGAAAGAGGACTGGGGCCACTGGTAAAAAAAAAAGATTTCTGATTTAATCTCAGAATTCTGAGAAAAAAAGTGAGAACTCAGGAAAAAAAACTTTTATTTTGCTCTGTGGTCCTAATCCTCTTCTATATGACTTATATGTCCACTAACTTTTTTTTTTAAATATTTAACTTTATACATTTTTTGTATCACTAAAATGAGTAAGGATTTATAGTTTTAGCTAATTTTAGCCAGCTAGCTTTATGTTTTGCAAATGTAAACTTTTTAGCTTTTTGATGAGCATTTTAGCTACTATTTGCCAATTTTCACTTTTGGCCATTGTTTTTCTGATTTACTACTCTTATACTTAACTCAGTTTTACATAACATTGAACTAATTTCAGATATTAACCACAGGTTATTATTGTTATTATTATTATTATACTGTAAATTTTTTTTGTAATGTTAGCTTTTAGCTACTGTTTCGCTGGTTTTGGCTTGACCGGTAGGGTTAAATGGGTTAAGTTGAGTTTACATTTTTAGCTATGATTATTCTAATTCTAGCATTTAGCTACTTTACCTAACGTTAAGTTTTTAGCTGTAATTTTGCTAATTTAAATTTTAGCTACTGTTTTGCTAATTTTAACTTTTTTTCTTAGTTTTAAATTTGACAAATCAATTTCAGCTACTTCAGCAAATATTATCAGTCATCAGCATTTACTGCATTTTCACTGAAAACGCTGTTTTAAAGCTAAAATACAAGAAGTTACTTATTTAAGTCTGTCACAACACTATAGATGAAGACATACAGTACATGAACATTATAATGTTTCACCTCAGCTAAACATTTTTGTCTTTTTGTCACTTCCACGCGATTTTAAACGGACTCACTGCAGTGTCAGAATGTAACTGTCTTTCTGCAGACTCTCCACGTAGCTGCTAAAGCTGTGATTTCACTCAGAATCCGCTACTCGCTGCCAAGTTTGTATTTCAGACTTTCAATGTGAGCTTTTTAATCTGTGCTCCCATTTTTCTGTTGCAATAAACTACTGCTGAAGGCCTGGATTTGATAAAAGTTGCTGAGAGCTTTAACTTGTTCAGTTCAAGTAGGCTTTAAGAGGCTTCTTTCTGGAGTGGCCTCAGTAGTTTACTGTGTGCTTATTTTAGGCCACTGAAGTGTAAAATGTACAGAGGAGGGAATTTAAAAAGCATGTGCTGTCGAAGGTTTGGCTAAAAAGCACATTTCAAGTATTAAGGTCAGATCCTTGGGGTTCTTTTGACTTTATCTTCACACAAAAAGTGCTGTTTTAGGTTTCCCACTGAAACGGCCTTGCAGATTTCATGTCATGTACAATAAAATCCCCTGTCCAGATTTGTTACACGATCACAGTAACTGAAATGAAAAGTGCCTGCTGAGAAAAATGTGCAGGAACCCATGATGTTTCCATGTATTACTGCCTTAATTTAGGTTCCAGACAAGACCCACAAAACAAGCGGTTCTGTTTGGGGGAACATGCATAAATCTATGTTTTTCAAAACTTTTTCTGAACCCTTTGCCTTGCTTTGTATTATAAAAATACGACAGTCTGGAACTTCAGCTTCTTTTATCAGAGATAAAAACATGTTGGCTTTACTAAAAAAAAAACAGGCTTTTATTAAACAAGCCTGTGCTTTGAGGGATCATTCCTTCTTTAAGAAAAAAGCAACAGTTCAGCTTTTAAAGCAGGGTTCTGTGGATCTGACTTGAACAGTCAATATCTTATCTGTTGTAGATAGCTTTTTGAATGGTAAATCTGACAACTTCCATCTTAAAAATGTAACTTAAACACTTCTGGCCTCTGTCTCGTTAAAGAGGAACTTACTCCAAAATTAACTTTTTTTAGCTGATAAACTGTCTAGAATGTGWCTAAAATGTTATATAGTACTGTTTCTGTACTAAATTTGATATTTTTGTGCGTATTTATTCAAATCTGTAATATTTGGTCTAAAAACGTCTTTTTGCTGCACACTATGAGTTGAGCAGTGGTACTGCAGGCTAATTTGCACATTGGTTAACAATTCTCCACGGTGACGTGCTTCTCCACAGTTTCGTCACAGCAGCTGTGTTCTGGTATAAAAGCCTCTCTCTAAGACACGCCCCTGCAGCAGTCAGAGGGTGGAACAGTTAGCATAGCATGATCGTCTGGTCTGTTGACTCTCCCTCAGCCTCGGGTGGGGAGAGCTGACTGCTGCGCTGCTCACACACACACACACACAAACACACACAAACACACCCCAGCCCGCTGTACGTCCTGCAGAAACAGGTAAACAAGAATGCTGTGTGTAGAGCACACACGGAAGAACAGCGGGAGGAGGAAAAAAAGGCAGACAACACAGCATAGCGGGGCAGCTGCATGTCTGCTCTCAGCTTGTCATTGTGAAATGAAAAACAGCTTGAACCGGACCCAAACTTCAYTCAAACAAGACCCAACACTTTTATTCCTGARCTAAACTAGTGATCTTGTCAGCAGCTGCAGCCTAGGTTTTATTTTTTTCTGTCAGGCTGTCGGGGCACTCCACCTCCTCTGTCCGGGGCTGGTGTGGTGTGGGGCGGACAGAGCTCAGCCGAGGCTGCGGTAAAGCYCTCCGTGTCCTGATTCAGGGAGACAACACAAGTCAGTCCCAGACTGAGCTGACTTGTTCATTTTAAATGAAGTATGTCATGAATCATTGTGTGTGTCATGAATCTTTACTTTTTACAGAACATAATCTGTTTAGAACGATCAGAAATGTTAGCTTGTCAAAATAAGCTAGCTGTCACGTTCTCTTGTCCTGACCACACCTCCTCGTTCACCCCCCCTCCCCTCTCCTGCAGTGTCCACTGTAGGCATTTTTTAAATTTTGCATTGAGGCGGAGTTATCCTTCACAGGGGGGTAAGGTACACTTTAAGAACCTCCTACCATTTCTGACACTTCCACTTTAGCATGTCTTCACAACAATGCTTTGTACAAATAGGTACCAGCAAACGTTTAGGCAGCTCTGCATGGCTACCACAGGAGATTCAAGGATGCATGAATGAGTCAAAGCAACACTRTGGGTATGTATTTGATGAGGGAATGACATTAGAACATGATATAAGAATTGAAAAGTTGATTTTGCACAATACCCCACTTTAATAGTTCAAAACATCTCCACAAGGTTTGAACTTTATTTTTGGACTTTCTCTTTCTTATGAATCCTTTCACCAAATTGAAATACTAAAGATTTCTTAAGACCTGCTGCTCAGTTTCAGCTGCTGTCTTCCAGGTCACTCTATTTTCTATCGTTCTCAAGGAGACATAGGACACCTCGTCTCCAAACACGATGCAGGGCTGGGAACGTATGAGGATTGTTTGCGCTGACGCAGAAAATAAACAGCGTCGCAATGAGGAATTTCAAGGCTTTCGTAACAGTTCACCGGAGGTACCAGCTGTTAAAAGCTAAATCTGTGCAGCATTACACGACTTAATTAATAAAAAAAGGCTGGTGTTTTTACTTTACATAGTGCACAATCTGTGTAGAAACAACAGCTGTTTTCATCCTGGGGTCATTTTTAATTGGAAATCATCAGTGGAATTTCCTAAGGAGCAAATTCTTTTACTGCATACTAATTATAGGTTTTTAATTTGGATTTGAGGCTTGATACTGACAACAAACAAAAAAAAGTAGATGTGGAATATTTTAAAGAGAGTCCTCTGCATCACCTGGTTTTGACTAAACTTTAACCAGGTGTTCGAAAACACAATATGAAGTAGGGGAAAAATGGATGCAGAGGTCTAAAATGCAACATTACTACAAAAAAACGGGTCATGGGGGAAGATAAGGAACAGAAAACAACAGAAGTTTTGTTCCTCAACTGTCCTGTATTATATTTTATTGTTTTTGTTTTGTGCTTATGGTGGTTGTTTTCTATAACTGTGTTGTATTGTTGATTAGACGTTTAATTGAACAAAAATGATTTGTAAAAGTACAAAATTAGATTATTTTTTACACAGTTTCTCTTCAGATTTGATAAAAAACATTCAGTGAATACCTATCTTTTGTGGATACCTTGAATAGGTTTTCAAAAATGTCATCCCTGACCTGTCTGGTGTGTTCCTTGGTCTTCATGATGCTGTTTGATCACACTAAGATTCTGTAATGAAATGTGGACTTTACTTACTAATTTGGTGGGTTTTAGTTGTGTGTGTGTGTGTGTGTGGGGGGGGGAGGGTTCAGAATAAAGAAGACTGAAAACCACACACCACACTTTTCTGATTATTTGTATGAAATTCTGAAAAACCACATGCCATTTTCCTTCTGCTTCACAATTATTCATTCAGTTTTATTTCCTTTTGACTTTTTCCACTAAATGTCCTCCCAGGTCGAGCCAGAGACTTTGGCAGTCATAAAATGGATGCAAAAGTACAATTTTGTGCTGTCGGCCAACCTCCACGGTGGCGCCGTCGTGGCCAATTACCCTTTTGACAAGTCGAGAGACCCTCGCATTCGAGGAAGGACCACGTACGCCGCCACTCCGGATGACAAGATCTTCAGGAAGGTGCGCAGCAGATTTCCAATTCTAGAGCCCKGATGGGTAAACATGTGACCTRGTGGCTGTCTGCGGCGTGTAAACATGTGGATGAACGGGCTTGTTTGTGTCTGCGTGTGATGACAGTTGGCGAGGACATACTCGTACGCACACYGCTGGATGCACAAAGGCTGGAACTGTGGAGACTTCTTTAACGAGGGGATCACCAACGGGGCCAGCTGGTACTCTCTGTCCAAAGGTAAACWAAAGCTCAACTCCCCTCATTTCAGCATTTTTTTGAGCAAAATTTAAATCCTCATGCAATGTTAGCAATTATGATTCAAGAAAGTAGAAGATCTGACTTAAAGGGTGGGTTATGAGCTGTATTTCATGTTATCATGTCATTCCTTCATCAAAAACATAGCCAGAGTGTTGCTTTGACTCATTCATGCATGTTTTGAGAAACCCTTGAATCTCCTGTGGGAGCCACGTGAAGCTGCCTAAACGCTTACTGATACAAAGCACCGCCTATTTGTACAAAGCTCCTCCCTGGAGCTCAGTCTGCAGCCCCACAGAGCACCCCTCCCCCAAAGCGTTGTTGTGAAGACAGAGATTTAAACTACAGTACGTGCCTGTAAAATAC